TCTGACGAGACATACATGCTGACAAAGCAAGAGACTTTATTGGGAAGGGGCAGCCCGGTGGAGAGCAGCAGGGTAAGGGAACCCAGGAGAGCTGTTCTGCCATGTGGCTCGCAGTCTCAGGTTTTACGGTGATGGAATTAGTTTCTGGGTTGTCTCTGGCCAATCATTCTGACTCAGGGTCCTTCCTGGTGGCCCATGCATCGCTCAGCCAAGATGGATTCCAGCGAGGAGGAATCTGAGAGGTTGGGAGGACATATGGACTGGCATCTCCTTTTGACCTTGCCCAAATTCTTCCAGTTGGTGGTGGCCTGTTAGTTTTGTGTTCCTTACCAGGACCTCCTGTCATAAAACATCTCATGCAGGGCTTCCCTGGTGGCGCAGTGGTTGAGAGTCCGCCTGCCGATGCAGGGGACACGGGTTCGTGCCCCGGTCCGGGAAGATCCCACATGCCGCGGAGCGGCTGGGCCTGTGAGCCATGGCCGCTGAGCCTGCGCGTCCGGAGCCTGTGCTCCGCAACGGGAGAGGCCACAGCAGTGAGAGGCCCGCGTACCGCAAAAAAAAAAAAAAAAGAAATTTTTTGCAAATGGTTACCTGGCCAGGGTGGGCAGTTTTGGTCAGTGGTTCCCCTAATAATAGGAAGGTTAAGTTTGGGCAGGAGCAGCAGCAGAAAGGACATCCTAGGAGAGGCCAGTGCAGCAAAGGCCTGGGCGTGGGATTTGCACAGGGACAGCAAACACCCAGGCACCCTTGAACCTACAGAGCCAGCACTTGCTGCATGATGCTCCCATGGCATTTACAGACTCAGGTCCCTGGGGTTTCTCTTCTCGGGAATAAACATGCTTGTTTCTATCAGCTTCAGTTTTCCCACACCATCCCTTGGTGCTGGTGAAGTACACAGGTCCCTCTGGGGCACATTAACAACTTTGGATGACATGATTTGGGCTGGGTTCCAGCCCCTTCTCTGTGGTGTGACTTGTCTGAGTCACTTAATCTTCCTGGGGTTCCTTGATGCTAAAACGGGGACAGTAATGAGGATAGTGCGGAGCCTCCCGTTTGCTGTGAGGATCAGATGGCTGCTGGACATAGCGGAGGTTTGTTACTGTGAGGGGCTGTGCACATGCCCCACCCTGCCCCCAGATGCAGGGGCAGCAGGGTCCGGCAGGGGCGTGTGATTCAGGGGCTGTGGCTGCTGTGACCCACTTATTCCCCTGGAGGGCAGGTACTTCAGGATGCCCTGGATGCAATTCTGCTTCCCCTATTCCGTCCTCTCCACAGACTGTTATTGACTCTTTGAGGAATTCTGTCCGACCCGCTGTAGAGACTCTAAAATGAGGGACAGCTTTTGGAAGCTTCCTGTTGTGTCATCCTTTGCCTGAGACATGAACAGTCCAGAAAGGTCTCCCCAGCACAGGGAATGCCAGGAACTAAAATCCCTGCGGTTACCCATTGAGAAGATAGGGTCCTGCCATAGACACCTCTGCTCAGGGAAGCCTCGGCCTGCCGGGGTCCAGTCTTCTCCCATCTACCATGGATCAGCCACCCAGGGGGGACCAGCGGCTTCTCCTTGTGGGGAGGCTGTGCACAGAGGGCGATTGAGTCAGGAGCCAGGGCAGCATTGTCCTCCCACCTCAGCAGGAGATGGGCAGTGCCAGCTGCTTGTTAGTGGGTCAGTTACAAGCATGCAAGAGCACCAGGGGGAGGAGGGGAGGGTGACAGAGAGGTCTGAGGGACCGAGAAGAACTGAGGCCTTTAGGCCAAGGAGGCAGCCCAGTGCAGGTGGACAGGCCCTGAAGGCTGGGATTGGTTTCAGAGAATCACTAGGCAGCCAGCTGAGAACCCGAGCAGGACTCAGCCTGAGGGATAGGCCCGCTAGAACCAGAGTGTGGTTGGGATCTTTGCGTGGCCTAGCCTTTAGGATCGGGCCCATTGTAGGGAGACTCAGGAGACATCCAAGAATGACAAGGTGGGACGACAGCCTGGCTGCTGGGTCCCATCAACACTCATGTGGCCCCAGGTCTGGGTGCCTGGCAGACCCTGCTGACCTTGGAGCTGTTCCCTACGTCCTGCCAGGCCTGAGCAGGGCTTGGGCTTCCAGGGACCCAACTGTAGGGTGGGGCTGTCACCTTCAAGGTGCCCCGAGCGGCCCTGTCTTCCTCCCTTCATCTGCACTTTACTTTGGATTTGGACACATCTCTACAGGGGCTGGGCCTTGGGGGGGGGGGTGTTCTAGAACATAATGTCCAAGCCACCCTCTAAAATTATCATGCTCGAGATAATAATGATAACAATAATTATGCTTGTGGTGAAATTAACATTTCTAATGCATTCTTAGAAAACATTGCTGTTTTTAATGGGCTTGTAACATACAATTTAGTTAAAAACTGAGCTTGCGGGCTTCCCTGGTGGCACAGTGGTTGAGAGTCCGCCTGCCGATGCAGGGGACACGGGTTCGTGCCCCGGCCCGGAAAGATCCCACATGCCGCGGAGCGGCTGGGCCCGTGAGCCATGGCCACTGAGCCTGCGCATCCGGAGCCTGTGCTCAGCAACGGGAGAGGCCACAGCAGTGAGAGGCCCGTGTACCGCAAAAAAAAAAAAAAAAAAAAAAAAAAACACAAAAAACTGAGCTTGTTCAGCAGAAGCAGCTACAAGATGTACCCTAGCCAGCCCTGGCCTGGTGGCAGCCCCATTCCCTCCCCCAGAAAATGTCAAGAGGAGTCACTGCACGGTGACTTCTTGGGTTAGGGTTGGGGGCACACTCTGATGCCTTCAGAGGTTAAGTGGGCAGCAAGGGCGGCAGGCCAGGCAGCAGGCCCCTGTGTCCTGTTTCCAGGCATGGCTGTCACTCCACAGCTCAGTGTAAACTCCCCTCCCCCTCTACAGTGACTCCATTTCTTAATTTCTCAGACAAGCTGGCTATTCTAGGTTTTAACATGAAATCTCCAAATTTTGAAATACTGTCAACCAAATAAGGTATTTAAAAAACACCACATGGCCCTAACAGGCACCCCCATGGTCTGGTTTTGCTCAGGGACCACCTGTCAGTGACCCCTGGCTTGACAGGGGCAGGGGGTAACATCCAGCCTCTTCCCTGGGAAGAGCTTTTTATGGAAATTACCATCTTTCTGCTTCCCAAGGTGGTTCTGAAGGTGAGCTGTCCCTGCTTGTTGAAAATGCAAAGAAATAAATGTGTAAAAATAGAGTAGCAATTCCTCAAACCCACTGTCAGGTTTAAGTAGCTGATGTTTCCCCTGGGAGCAGCAAGGATGGCCCTGAATTACCTCCAGACAGCACAGCAGAAGGATGAGCTCTGCACTGGCACTCTCCCTGGAGTGGTCCTGGGCAGTGCCTGCCGTGTGCATGTGTGTGCGTGTGTGTGGAGTGTGTGTGTGCCTGTGCATATGGGGGGGACATGGGGGACTACAGGGCTGGGGTGGGGGGCACAAGGACCCCAGGAGGTAAGGAATGCCAGCAGATGCTCAGCCCTGGCACTAGCCCATTCCTCTTCTCTGTGCAGCCCTTCCCCCTCTGCTGCTCCTTCACTCCCACTTTTCCTTCCATAGCCAGGTTGCAGGTTTGTGCCTGAAACCTAACAGACAGCAGGTGTAAAGAAGAGAGCTTCTGGCTGGCTGGGGAGCTCTCTCAGTCTTCTGGTCTGTAAAATGGAGGCAATAACGCACATCAAAGAGGCCTGTTGTCAGCACTGGATGAGGAGACATACTCGGAGGGCCTGGCTGCCTCACTGTGCCTCCAGAGGAGACCGTGGAAAAGAGCTTAGGGGACAAGTGAGAAGAATTGTTCTGGAAGACTCTTTGGTGATGTCATGATAACCTGAGGTCCTAGGTCCTTCCCAGGGCAAGAGTCTCTGAGACACACCTGTTCCTCCCCCTACCAGGAGTGCCAAGGAGGGGCAGGACCCTGGGGTCAAGGACCTGGCGTGGACACATAGACCAGCGCAGGGTTGTGAGGGGCTTCCAGAGGCTTTGGCACTGGGACTAATTGGACAGTGTGGTCTGGGGCTGCCAGCAATGCTGAAGGTCGGCCTGGCCAGCTCAACTGCAATCCTGAGAGGTAGGGGCCAGGATTGGACCATGGTGGGCTCCAGGCCCAGTGGGAAAGTAGAAGGGGATTGAGACAGATGCTGCAGCCCTGCAGATGGTGCAATGACATCCTGGGGTCCTGGGCCTGATGCGATCCAGCCCCTGGCCCCCTCAGCTGTGGCCCCTAAGGCCCCATGCCCCAGATGGTCTGCCCCGCTCTGAGCCAGGTGTTTAGCCTGTGGGGGACGGAGTGAGCCCCTGCCAGGCAGACTGTGGGGGAGTTGTCATAAGAGGGGCTCATCCTGATTCCTGCATGATTCAGTCAGGCAACCTTTCATCTCTTTGGCACTTGGCATCAGGGGCAGGCACAGTTCTGGGGTCGGGGTCACCCATGGCCTGGCCCCAACCCAGGAGTTGAGTGGGTGGGCCTGGCACAGAGATGAGGGACCTAGCTCCAACCAGGGACTGAGCAGAAAGTTCCAGAAGAGGAGCTGTCTGAAAAGACACTGTGAAACACATACCACCTGGGCTGGGTCTCAGTTTCCCCGGTTATAAATGGGGAGACCAGCCTGGAAGACCAGCTTTTTGGCACTGGGTGGCCCTTGGGGAGTGTGCGAGTGTGTGAATGGGTGAAAAGAGTCCACCCTGCCCATTCAGCTTCCCACCCTCTCTGTTCACTGCTGGGTGCCAAACCTGGCCTCTGTGATGGCCGAGCTGTGGATTTGCATGCTGCTGGGTCTGAGCTGACTTGGTACATCACTGCTGCCCTCTCTGAACCTCAGTTTGCTCTCCTGTGAAATGGGGACAGAAATGCCCTCAGTTAGGGTGCTGTGATGATGACAAGCTGATGGCCAAGCTGGCACCTGGCAGGTGCCGAGTTGCATCTGAGTGGGGTTTTGTCCTGCTGCGGTGTCCCTGGTGAGCCTGGGCTGCTGCTACAGGCTTTGTCCTCTCTCCTTCCAGGGATCTTCCCGGGCAGCCTGGACAGCTTCAGCCGTGCCCTGGGCATCCTGGAGGAGCGAGTCAACAGCTCCAGGCAGAGGGTGCGCAGACATGCTGCCGACGATGACTACAACATCGAGGTCCTGCTGGGGGTGGATGACTCTGTGGTCCAGTTCCACGGGAAGGAGCATGTGCAGAAGTACCTGCTCACCCTCATGAACATTGTGAGTGGGGGTGGGGTGACAGGGGCAGGGCACTGGGGGTGGGGCTGGGAGGCTAGGGGTGCAGGTGGGCCAGGGCAGCTGTGCTTGCCACAGTTTCCTGGTGGAGCTGGGGGTGAGTGACATGGTCACAGGGAGGCTGTCTGGGTCTACAGGTGAGAAAAAGTGACCCTCCCATCGATTTTGCTGAACCTCAGTTTTCTCCTCTGCAAAGGGCGGGTGGAGGGGGGTGGTTCTGACTTGGCAAGGCTGTTTACATGCTAAGGCAGCTTTCCAGAAACTTGTCATTTGTGTACCAGTTTTCTTAATTTTTCATCATACCCACATGGTATAGGTTGTGTATTTTCCTGTAAATCAACTGACTTTTTTTAAAACTTAAAATTATTTACAAAGGCAACCTCGCTTTATTGTAAAGGTAACCTAGAAGTAAAATGTAAAGCGATGTTATTCAAATCCAGCTAGACAGTCCTGCCTTCTGCCGGGTCTGCACCACAGCCCGCGATATTCAAATGGGAGATTAGTGTGTGTTAGAGAGGAGGACAGACAGACCGACACCCATCCGAGGTTTCTCCTTGAGGTAGTTAGAGGAAGTGAAGATGGAAGAGAGCATCCATTTCTCCCTGTGAGGTTGGGCTCCTTAACTGGGTGACTGGGTGCCACCTAAGCCTCCTGTGGCACCACGGGACACCTGCCCTGTCTACCCAATCCTGAGAGATTAAGCTGTTACCCCTCCCCTCATTCCAGCCCCTTCCACCCCAGGAGGTATAGGATGCTGACCTTGTAGAAAATGCAGTTCCTGCCTCTGCCCGGGGTGGTGTGGAGATCCTGCCCCTCACTGCCTGGTGCCTCATTTGAGCCCTGCTGGGAGAATATTAGGGGTTGGAGGGAGATGCAGTGGGCCTGCAACCAGGACACGCTGTGGGCCCAGCATTGTGGGAGGAGTGGATTTGTGGAAGGAAGCCTGGGCTTGTAGGGGGCTGGAGGTGGGCAGGGAAACCCAGGGGATAGGGGGCTCTACAGCAGGCAGGGCTGCTCCCCAGCCTGTCAGTGAACTGGGTCCTCCAGAGGTCCAGCTGGTGGCGAGCAGTGAGGGGGTAGGACATTTACTCCTGGCCTGGTTCTCAGCTCTGCTTCCTGGGTCATGGTGAGCCCCTGGGAATTCAGCTGATCCTTGGGCAAGACCTCCCAGAGCCCTAGTGAAGAGATAGGTCAGGGGCAAGAAGGAGGATATGAATGAGCTGGTCACTGGACCAGGAGTAAACCCCTGCCTGCCGGCCTGTCTTCCTCTCCACCTGCCTTAGGTAAGTCACTGACCCTCTGGAATGCAGCCATCTCATCTGCAAAGCAGGGCCGAAGTCTGTTTGCAGATGTTATTTTATTTTGGAGAGTGTTATCACACTTAATCTCACTTATTTTTGAAAAGTACCTTTAATATAATAATAGTAATAATAATACCATGATGGCTACAAATATTGAGCTCTTAATATGTGAATCTGTGTGCCAGGCTTGTGCTAGTCACTTATCATGCATTATCTTTGGAAATCTTCACACGAACTATAAAATTGGTAGATATAAAATCTTGTCTGCCTTCAAAATATATGTCTTTCCCCAAGTATTATACTGCCCTCCAACCCAGTGGACAAAAGGACTGGTTGTGGCATTCGAGAGTCCTGAATCCTGGTAAACTACTTGTTTCTTCACACCGGAATTAGCATACATCCCACAGAGTAAGAGCTCAGTCTCATAAGATGGGCCCCACTTCAAATGCCGAGCTCAACTCCCAGGTTGTCAGCTGTGCTTCTTACCAACCAGCTCCTCAAGTTCAATAATTTGCTAGAACGGTTCACAGAACTCAGGAAACCACTTTACTTACTACCATCGGTTTATTATAAAGCACACAACTGAGGAACAGCTAAATGGAAGAATGCATAGGGCAAGGCATGGGGAAGGTGCGTGGAGCTTCCATGGAGCTTCCATGGCCTCTCTGGATGCACCACCATCCCAGCAACTCGATGTGTTCCCCAACCTGGAAGCTCTCCAAACTTCATTGTTTAGGGTTTTTATGGAGGTTTTATTTTGCAGGCATGATTGGTGAAATCACTGGCCATGGGTGATTGAACTCAATCTCCAGCTTTTCTCTCCTCCCTGAAAGTTGGGGGTGGGGCTGAAAGTTCCAACTCTCTAATCATACAGTTGGTTCCTCTGGCTACCAGCCCCCATCCTGAACTATCTAGGGGCCCACCAAGAATCGCTTCATTAACATAAACTCAGGTAAGGTTGAAAGGGGCACATTATGAATAACAAAAGATGCTCCTCTCACCCCTATCATTAAGGAAATTACAAGTGTTTTAGGAGGTCTGTGCCAGGAATGAGGGGCAGAGACCAGATACATATTTCTTATTATTTTGCACCTGGGTTACCCCTGACCCCACCACTACCAGGTATGTCACTGAGAATGGGCTTCAGTCTTCTAAGCCTTGGTTTTCTCATCTTTAAAATGGGCAATAATTTTCACCTTGAGTTGTCGGTGAGGATTGAATGAGATGATGAAGGTGAACGTGCTTTACAGTCTCTAAATAAATGTGGTTTTGCTATCATGACGATGACAATATTTAGTTTAGCGACAGCAGGTTTAGAATTATTCTTGACAAGTACAGCAAAGACTCTGAGTGTCTTCCTGAGGCTGGTGGATCAAATCCGCCTTTTGCCTGGTGTGGAGGGTCCCTCTGTCGCACACACCTTATGCCCATGAGCTGGTAGGAGGAAGTCTAGAACTTTGTCTTGGTTTTGCCAGTTAACTTCAATGTATTCGTTTACACCCCGTGATCCAACTGTACCTCAATTTTGGATAAGGGTGTGGTTTGGTTAGTTTCTTGAAAAGCATGAGAAATATAAAAATTCTTAAATTGAAACAAATTTGATCATAAGAGAAAGGGATTTTAGGAGATGAATCGGAGGAGCTGAGAAAGAGTACTTGGGCCGTGTCTTTTTTCCGCTGCTGCGTCATGCAAGTGGTGCTTGTTCCAGGCACAGCGGCTGGTCCTGCAGAGACAGAAGGCCTGGTGGACACTTCTGGGCTCAGGGAGACACGGCAGTGGGGGGTGTCTGTACCCCCAACCTGAGCTCCCACAGTAAGAGTGCAGTGTGGTTGAGGGAGGTGAGGGCCCCTGCTTGGATCCTGTGTTGCCTTGACAATACCCTCTAAGGCTCAGTGTCTTCATCCAGGGTACATGCATGCCCTGGGAAGAGTCCCTGGGGATGATCTAAGGTACATGAGCCCTTTGGTGGTCTTGGGGAGGAGGGGGATTGAGGAGGCAGGAATATTTGAGAAAAGATAAGCTTCTTTAGCAGTGCTGTCCGATAGAACTTTCTGCATTGCTAGAAATGCTCTAATTCTGCATGTCCAATACAACAGCCACTAGCCACCCTGACCCTTGAGCGCTTTAAATGTGGCGTGTAATTGAAGAACTGAAATTTTAATTTAATTACGTTCCAATAGAATTTAAAACAAATTTTAATTATGAAAATATATATAAAATTTACCATCTTCACTGTTTATAAGGGAGCAGTTCAGTGACATTAAGTATACTCACATTATTATGCACCCATCACCACCACCCATCTCCAGAACTCTCTTCATCTTACAAAACTGACACTCTGTACCGTTAAACAATAACTCCCATTGCTCCCTCTCCCCAGCCCTTGGGAAGCACGATTCTACTTTCTGCCTGCTGTGCCCTTCCTCTGAACTTGACCAGCACATGGCGCTAAATGGCAGTGTGGGTGGCCCTGGGTGTGGGGGCCTTTAGACCCGGTAGGTGCTGGCCCACCTGAAGCTGCAGCCAGAGCCCCATGTGACCCTACAAGGCCTGGCCAGGGTAGGGCTCCCTCTTCTTGTAAGCGCACAGCTGGTCTTGGGGCTTCCCAGCATTTGGAGCCAAAGCAGCAACGTGCAGGACAGATGTGGCAGCAGCTGACCCAGACTGTGCTCCAAGTGAGGCATTTGGTCAGCAGTGAGGACAGCCAGGACCAGGATGGAAGTATTCCCAGCTCCCAAGGCTGGGGGCCAGCCCTGGGCGGACAGTCTGTCCCCTGAGGGAGGTCACAGAAGCCCTGGGAGGAGGGTCAGGTGGGGGGTCCCGATGGCAAAAGACCTGGGGAATGTGGGCTCCAAGGAGCAGCAGAGGCCAAGGTGTCAGGCCAGGTGTCGGCGTGGCTCAGCCCTGGCAGCTCTAAGCCAGCTTGGTCTCCCTCATCGTTCAGTTATTCTGCTTGCAGGACTCCCTTTGGGGTCTCTTTGTGGCAGACCCTGGGCTGGGACGTGGGTCCTGGTGTGACACCGACATTTCAGGTTCATCAGATATCCACATGCTCCCCTCCCTTCCATTTCCCAGCCTCCCTTGCACCTCATTTTTGGGGCTGTGTGGCTAGTTTTAGCTAACGGCCTGTGTAGAAGGAAATGACGTAGGTCGCCTCTTGGCCAAGGCAGTTGAGAGCCAGTGTGTCCACTTCCTCTCTCTCTGTCCTACCACAGTGACCTTGGAAGTCACGTGTCCCAGTAGCCGCAGCCGCAAAATGGGGCAGGGCCGCCCAACCTGCATAAGCCTGTGATGTGTGCAAGGAAACACACACCAGCCTTTACTGTATTAAGCCACTGAAATGTGGTAGATTCTCTGTTAGCTGCAACACAGCCCATCCTATTCTAATACACACAGCTCCTGTCCATACAGTACAATCAGCAAATATTTACTGGGCATCAACTCTATGTCAGCCGTGAAATAGGGCCAATGTGGGGAACAAGGGGCCCAAGTAAGAGGGGAAGTTGGAGGCAAGGAAGGCCAGTCAATAGAGGAACTTGGATGTGACTCTAAGGGCAGTAGGAAATTGCTAGAGGTGCTACTTCCTTCCAACATTAATGGGCAAGACATTTAATGCCCATTTTTTCATAGGAAAATGGGAATTAATCCATCCCTCTTTCCACCTCAGACTCTCGAGGGTCAGAA